CGAATGTGCTTCTAACCCAGCAAGCTAATTTCCCTAATCTCTCTCTCTATCTTGGTTTATCTCTATCTTGTTTATGTCGGAAATGGAAAATTCTGCTTTCAAAACGTAGCCTAAACGTGTCATACAAATATTTCTCAATGCAGATCTTGCCTAGTGTTATCAAATTCACTTTGGATAATTTTAAGGGAAAATTTTGTATGGAACTCCGATTCTCGTATTGTTTCATGGTAGGCTCTCTTTTTGTTTTTTGTTTAAGCAGCATAAAAATTTCAATGCTTTGATTGATTTGAATCAATGCTTCAAAATATTTTAAAAAATATATCTTTATGTATAAAAATATATTAAAATAAAAAATTTTCAAAATAAAAAATAAAAGATAATTTTGTGCTTCGGCCAGAGAGGCCCAAGCAGATGGAAGCGGCCTGTTGGATACTCAAGCAAATTCAACAGAACTTTGCTCCGTCCGGGCCGGGCTGAAAATCAAAGGCTTTCGCAAAGCGAGTATGATGACGGTGATATTCCAGCCATTTGGGTATCATCTACATTGTCACAACGGGGATGTGTATGGTGATTACTGTCTTGTATCATTCCCATATACATCCTCTTCATAAGTACCATTCCCATATGCATCCTCTATATATATCTCGTATATTTTTGGATTAAGAAATCTCTCTTTCTCTCCTTTGAAATGTTAATAATACTCTCTCGCTGTCTATGGTCTTTAACCAAATCTTGGCTTTGAATTTGACCACCGAATTCTAAGGACTACAAGATACTGCATTAGTGAAAATCAAGCCAGGACCTACGTAGACTTTCTACAAATTAATTAATAGTGTGGCCCAATCCAATGTATAGGACTATTTTGCAGTAAAAATAAGTGTCTAGAGATCCGCAATATTTGTATTATTTTTTTAATTTTGAATTTCATTATTCGTGGCGAAAATTGATTTTAGTTCCATCACAATGATTTCTGCTGTCGAAAGTACTTTTTAAAAGGATTTCAAGTGGGGCTCTATTTTGTTTTCATAAATACTATGCCTTATATAAAAGGGTACGGTTTGTATAGAGCTTAAGCTTTAAACAATCAAAGTAAATCGCACCTTCAAATAGTGTCGACAAATGTGGTTTCAATATTGAAAATCTTTGTGATAGCCTGAAAATATATTTTCATCACTAATTATAAATTTTAAAGCTTCAAAAATAGTATAAATTGGATGTATGAAAACTTGAAAATCTTGAAAATTGATGGTCCAATAATGCATTATAAAGTACACTATTTCTAAAACTTGAAATCCCTCTCTTTATCGTGCCCATGTATCTTGAGGTCGAGATGATCAATTTGAAAGTATTTAGACATCAAAATAGCTTCTCCTAATGAAATTTTCGAGATGCGCCTTAATTTAATTGTTTAGTTGCACTTATATAAACTATTTCCTGGATAAAAACCTCATCCAATTAGTTTTTGTTAGGCCTAATTCTTAGAATGCATAAGTTGGGGGACTTCGAGAATGGCACCTCAAATGGGTTGTTGAGAGCACCCATGTGGTTGGTAGCTCTTCGGAAATATTGTGAAAATGACCCAAAATGCCCCTTTTTTTCTCCAAAATGACCAAAGTACCTTTAATTTCCTTAAATGCCCCTCTATCACAGTGCTAATTTCCTGTGAAAAAAACTCTACATTTCACAACTGCCCAAAAAGTCGATACCACTAAAACAGTTAATTTTGCTTTTGTAATTTCTAAGTTATTGAATTTGAGGACAATTTTGTTTCCATCTTTTTGTTTTTTTCATCTTCATTTGTTATTTTTAGGTTGGGTGTCATTTGTATAAGGTGAAAACCTTTAATAATCAAAGTTTCGAACGTATGAAAAGCTGCAGGTGTCGAAAACTATTATAATTGCCTAAAAATCAATTGTTATATTTAATTATGAAATTTAAAGTTAAAAAAATAGTGTATCAACATATCTATATATCCTTACATTTTTTGAAAATAGATGGTCTAGATAATGTGTTACAAGATATACTATTTTTAGGACCGAAAATCTTTTTTTTTCATATTGAAATGACAATTGTAACGTTTTTTTTTGTGGGTTTTAGAACAACCGTTTTTAGTGGATTTCTTGAGATGCACCATACTTCTATAGCATAAAGTCAATATTGTACACAAAAAATTTCTAATCTTTAGAAAATATTTTGATAAGGCTGCAACCCTATCAAAATAACTAAAGCTTCACCTCAAAACTCACTTAAAATTGCAATTATGGCATTAAAAAACATTCCAATAGGTAATATCAACATTGACCATCATGGCTATATATGTATAAAAAAAAATTCAAACCCCAAAAATAGTGTATATTGTAATACATTATCTAGACCATCTATTTCACCAAATAGTTGGGAAAAAGCTTCAATGACTATGATAATAAATAAGTTTTTACGGTTATGCAAGATTTGTACCTTTTTTAGCTTCAAATTTCATAATCCATGTTAGAAATTTATTTTAGAGCCATCATAGATATTCCGATGCCCAAAGTGCTTTCTGGATGAGGATTTAAAGTGAGGCCTTAATTTGTTTTATGAAAACCTAGGCCTTATAGAAATAGGTGTGGGCGTAACGGGTAGACAAATGGTCTGTGGATAAAAATAATGTTTACTTCCTTTATTCCACCGTTATATAATGGCTTGTTGCCATTTGTAAACCGAAATTGGTTTGCTTTCGGTTTTTGAAAAACTGATAAAGGGTAAAAATGTTTTCTTTTTTTTAAAAATATCGTTAAGAAGTGAAAAAAACAGACATGTTAGTAATAACAGAAAGTATTTGATATTTTGATAATAATGGTAATTAAATTGAATATTTACATAATTTTTCCTAAATTTAAATTTGAACGATATTGTTTATTTAGAAGTTTGAAAATTCACCAAGCTGCTTTGCAATCGCTCGAGTCGGCTCGAGTCCGTTCAACATTATAGAGAGGCGCTTCAGATAACATAATCTGGCACCGCCCCAGTACTTTAGAAACATTCACTATAGCGAACCTCGCAAGATTTAAGCAAACAAAATAGCCTGAATCTTGAAGTATTGGGCAATTCGCAATACAATATTGGACCCCTTTTTTTTTCCATTCTTGGTGCTTTCTTGCCTTGATTTAACCATTTGGTTTTTTGTGGACCAATAAAAGGAAAAAAAATTCATGTTTTAAATTAATTTTTTATTTTAAAATTCATATTGGTGGGATGGATCATTCACCCAAAAAATATGTATCAGATTGCTGGATCAACGATCTGAATCGGTCTGAATTAGTGATCCAAAAATTATTAAAAATAAAATAATGTAAAAATTAAAATAGAGGTTTATAGGTTGGGGATTTAGGGGGACATAAGCTTAAAAAAAAGAAAAAAATTATAAATTGTGGGGTTTTGTAGGGGTGGGGGGCGAAGAACCAAGCTGGACCCATACCATCTTGAATCCGGTTTGGTCCCGACCAATTCCCTCATGGATCAATGATCCAAATTAAGAATCACCGGATTCTAAAACAATGATTTAAACTTTAAATGAAAACATCTAAAAAAATGTAAAAAACAAATAGATTGTGTTATGTACAATCAACAATAATAGAAGCAGCAGAAATCATTATATTCATAGTAAACAACAAAATTGAGAAGTGGTTAATGATACAATCAACTAATTAATTAGAAAAAATGTCTCTATATCCTTTATTTTTAAATTTCATTTCTTGATAAACTCAATTTTTCAAAAGAAATCTTCTAACCCTTTGCTATTTTAAACCTATTTTTTAACCTAAATAAATGTGAGAAAGACATATTATTTTTAAACCCAATCATTCCTCTCTCTTTACTTATATACCTTAAACTTCTCTCTTTCTCTCTCTTCCTATGCCTCTCTCACTCTCTCTCTCCTCTTATGTTTCTCCAAACACCTATCTCTCTCCTCCTGAAAACCTCTCACCTCCATGAAGCCTTCTTTATCTCTAGAAGTTTGGGATGATGCCTTTTAGAAAGATATTTTTTTCTAGATTTGTTTGGCAAAAAAAAAAAAAGTTCAAATTAGCTCAGGGGTTAAAATAAATAAAATCTACAATTTTTATACCCCAAGATATCTTTTAAAATTGTAGGTTTATTGTGAAATGAAACTTAAAAATAGAGGGTATGGAGATATTTTTTCAATTAATTATTGCTCATTATTCCATCACTAAAATCTATAAAATTCAAAGTTATTGAGAGCTCCAAATTGAAGTGATGATATTACTCTCAATTGAAACTCAATATGGTTCTACTTCTTCTATTTTTTTGTTTTGTTTCTTAACCCTTCTTTCAATTCTTCATTGTTTTTTCCTTTATATGCATATGATTTGATTTATTTTATCTGATATGTTTATTCATTCATTCAAAACTTATATCGAAATCTATCTAATTTGGTTTGGTGGGAAGTAAAAATTAGAAAATTAGGCTATACAGATAGTCCATATATAACTAATGACTATTATTTGGAAGAAAAGTGTATTGTGTATCGGGGGACAATTCTACAGTTGTATCGCATGACGCATCATGCACCTATCCTAAAGATGGACACAAGAAGGGGTAGTCCCACAAAGGACTAAAATGAACGGTCAAGAATTATTTTTCAAAAAAAATCATTCTTAAAATTTAAAATTTTAAGTTTTTATATATTAATAACCCTCTTATTGGAGATGGCATGTACCTAAAATATCAGATACAAAAATCCATTTCAAAAACAAATAATGGAGATAGGACGTACATCTACATATGAGTCGGCTGTGAGATAAACCGTGTCTATTTTTGAAACATTGTTTTATGCCTGGCAAAAAGCGGATGTCAATGTTATTATCAGAAAGTTAAGGGCATTTTTGTCACTTTCCGCAGAAAAAATAATCCAAACCTGCCGACCGATTTCCCCGTCCCGGAAGGTTAAGGCCATTTTCGTCATTTTTCCTTGAGAAGGATGCCCCCTCCTCCTTATCTCTGGAAGTTACCAGTGGTCTTGCTGTGTACTCTCTCTCTTCTCTCTCTCTAGGGCTGAAAGCTCAATTCCATACCATTTTGATTCTCTCTCTCTAACAATGGAATCAAACCCCCACAGTGACTCCAACCCCTCAGCCCCTGTTGAAGAGCAAGAAGAACAACAGGCCCAGAACACCCTTTCTCTCTCATCCTCAAACCTCACCACTCCCTATGCCTCCATCTCTCTCTCTCTTTCTTCTCTCTTCTCCTCATCCTCCATTCTCTCTTCCCCCAAGCCCCCCTTCAAGCCCTCCCAAACAGCCTGTTTCACCCATATCCCCCTAAAGCCCTCTGTCTCTCTACAATTCAGGAACCTCAATTTCTCCCAGGCCCCAAAATCCAACTCCAAATCCTCAATCTCAGCTGCTTCTCTCTCTACCCCGCTTTTCCAGACACCCCATCTCTCTTCTGAACCCTCGAACCCAGTTGGTGGTCGTAAATGCTCCATTGTTTGGTTTCGGAATGACCTTCGAGTCCATGACAATGAAGCTCTTAACTCTGCAAATGAAGAGTCTATCTCGCTCCTCCCTGTTTACATTTTCGATCCTCGAGACTATGGCAAATCGTCGTCAGGTTTCGATAAAACAGGCCCATATAGAGCCACCTTTCTCCTAGACTGTGTATCTAATTTGAGAGAGAATTTGAAGAAGAGAGGGTCTGATTTGGTGGTGAGGATTGGGAAACCAGAGAGTGTTTTGACGGAGTTGGTAAAAGCTGTTGGGGCTGATGGGGTTTATGCTCACATGGAGGTTTCGCATGATGAGGTGAAAGGGGAAGAGAGAGTGGAGAAGGTGATAAGGGAGAACGGGGTCGAGTGTAAGCTTTTTTGGGGGAGCACTTTGTACCATATTGAGGATTTGCCATTTGGGCTCGAGGATATGCCTTCGAATTATGGTGGCTTTAGAGAGAGAGTGAAGGGTTTAGCAGTGAGAAAGACAATAGAGGCATTGGATAGGTTGAAAGGGATGCCAAAAAGGGGGGGTGTAGAGCCTGGGGATTTGCCGACATTGATGGATTTGGGGTTGAGCCCTGCCTCAACTGTTTCAAAGGTCAGTCCTTTCTCTTTCTCACTAAATGTTCTCTCTAGAATTGAATGTCCCCCCTCTCTTTCTCTAGAATTGAGTATGTTTTAGTTCAATGACTGCCAAATATCTTGAAATTACTTCTGTTTGAGTTGTTTTTATGTATTGAAGTGCTTTTTCCTTCTGGTAGTTATAGAGTATGTTGTGACTTGTGAGTTAGCTGAGCAGTGTATCTAGTATAAGTTACATTTTGGTTCTAAGTGTGATAGCTGAATCTGTCGATGCAACAATGACATTTGATGCATTGTGTTGTCTCTGGCTTCAAAACACTAAAATTTGTGTATGTTGTAAGTTGTATGTGAATTCATGTACTCTCTCTCTTTCTCTGTGTGTGTGTGTGTAGTGATAGAAAGAACTCATTGTTATAATAGTCTTGGTTTGGCTCTATTTGTATTTATCTCTGCTGTATTTGTAAAATAAAGTGGTCCAATTTGTTTGTCATTGAATTTTAAGAGCCTCACTATTGTTGCAATAATACCAAATTTTTTGTTAATCATTTCTTCTTTTCTCTAAGCCTGACGATGTGGTATTTTGAGAGCCGTTGTTCCCTTTCTCTCTCTCT